CTGCTCGATGGACCACACCAGCTCCTCCACAAACTTCATCTCCGAGGCCACCTGCTTGGCCAGGGCCTCGTAGTGGTTCTCCAGCTTGCGGTAGCGCCGCTTGAGGCCGTTGGCCGCCTGCACCACGCTCTTGGTCTCCTCCTGCGCCTGCTTCTTCAGCGCCTCCGTCTTCTGCAGCTCCTGCCGGATCTGCCGCAGGTCCTGGCTGATGCTCTCGTTCTCCTCCTTGTACCACGACTCCTTCTCCTCGTAGATGGAGCGCAGCGCCTCGATGTCCTCCTGGAAGGACTTCTTGTTCCTCTCCAGCTCCCGCAGGGTCTCCTCGGCCGCGGCCACCTCCTCCATGACCTTGGAGAAGCGCTCGAAGTTGATGTAGGTGTTGTTGGGGGGCATGCTGGAGTGGGACTTGATGGTGTACTCCTTGAGGCGCGTGGTCTTCAGCCGGCGCCGCTCGGGCTTCTTGCAGCTGTCCTCGTTCCGGACGTTCCTCCTCTTGATCACCTGTGGGAGGGACGGCTGTGGGGTGGGACACGGCAGGGACAGCAGGAGCTGGGTGGCCCTGGTACCCACCCACCCATGGAGCACCAGCAGCAGCACCAAACCGGCCCCCACAGAGCTGCTGTCAGCACCCACCCCACCTTGAGGGGGTCTGACACCCCAAAAGTGACAATTCTTTAGCTTCTCACCTTAATCCAAGGGTGCTCCAGGCTCTGGGCGATGGTCATTCGCTTCCTGCAAACACAGCAAGGCTGCGATCAGGGGCAGGGGCTCAGCTCCCTTTCCCTGTTAAAGCCCTGGAAGTGCAGCTCGGGTCCTGTGATCACCTTTGGGGTCTGGATGAGCCCAGACAAACTCGCTGCACTCAGGGCCCCTCCAGCCAGGGGCCACATCCAGCCCCCAACCCCTCAGACACAGGCAGAAGAACCTCCAGACCGACGTTCAACCACATGGCTCCACTGCTGCCACCACCCCAGAGCCCTGGGGGCTCAACTCAGCCCCTGACCCCTCCCAAACCCCAGCAGAGCTGCTGCACCCCCGGGGGGATCCCAGAATTCCCCCCATGCCTCATGCAGGGGAGAGATTTTGGATTCAGAGCCGAACCCCGGCGCAGGCAGGAGTGTGGGAGCTGCCTGTTTGCAGCAGGTTGGGCAGGAGGGACTGTCCCCTCTCCCAGAGGAACCCCCAGCTCCGCTCCCCACCCCTCACTTGGGGTCCTTGACAAGCAGGCGGCGGATGAAGTCCTTGGCCAGCTCGCTGGTGTTGCTGAAATACTCCTCGTCGAAGTCATAGTTGACAGCAGAGATGTTGGTCAGGGTCTCCTGCTTTGTCTCCCCCAGGAAGGGGGAGGCTCCGCTCAGCCTGTGGAGAGAGAAAGTTAGGACACCCCACAGCCTGAGGTGGGGGGCTCTCCCTGCAGCCCCAACCCCCCCAGACCTCCCTTGTACTCACAGGATGTACGTGATGACCCCGATGCTCCTGGAAGAGAGAGAGGAAGAGGAGGCTGAAGCCCCTCAGAGCATTGTCAGGCCCCTCTCCCCGCACTTTTGGCACAAGGGGAGATCCACTGGCACGAGGGGATCGACTGCTGGAACCATGGGAGTGGGCTCAGGAGGGGGATCACTCACCACATGTCGGCCTCCAGCCCCAGGGGCTCATAATTCACAATTTCCGGGGCTTCGGGAGGAAAGAGAGGAGAAAACAGGCTCATTGTGGGGGAAGGAAACTGTCCCCATGGATGCACCCCAGCAGTGGCACTGGGCATCCCTCTGGGATTAATCCAAAGCTTTCAGCACCCTGAGGAGCCCCCAGGAATGCTGCCAGCCAGGTCTCACCCACAAATTCCGGGGTCCCAAAGATATTCTTGAATTCATTCCCAGCCTCGATCTTGTGGGCGATGCCGAAGTCGATGAGCTTGATGCGAGGGTTTGGCACGTTCTTGTCCAGCAGCATGATGTTCTCTGGCTGGGGGGGAGAGGAGCTGGGTCTGTCCCCACATACCCACCCCTGGGAGCTGCCCTGGGCTCCTCCTTCCAGAGGTGAGAACATGGGAGAGATCTCAAACTGGGAGAGATCCCAGCACCGACTCCCAGACCTCAGCTGGGAGCTCACCCCTATTCCCAGTGATGAACATGGGGTGTCTGCATCTCCCAGACCTCACCTGGGAACTCATCCCTGCTCTCTGGGGAATCTGCACCTCCCAGACCTCACCTGGGAGCACATCCCCACTCCCCAATGCCAGGCACGGGGTGTCTGCACCTCCCAGACCTCACCTGGGAGCTCATCCCTGTTCTTTGGGGAATCTGGACCTCCCAGACCTCACCTTGGAGCTCATCCCTGCTCTCTGGGGAATCTGCACCTCCCAGACCTCACCTTGGAGTTCATCCCTGCTCTCTGGGGAATCTGCACCTCCCAGACCTCACTGGGAACCCATCCCTGCTCTCTGGGGAATCTGCACCTCCCAGACCTCACCTGGGAGCTCATCCCTGCTCCCACCACCAAGCACGGGGCACCTGCCCCTCCCAGCCCTCACCTTGAGGTCGAAGTGGGCGATGTGCTTGGAGTGCAGGTAGTGCACCCCGTCCAGGATCTGCTTGAGGAACTGGGTGGCCTCCTCCTCCGTCAGGGACTCCTTCTCCGCCAGGAAGTCGAAGAGCTCCCCGCCCGACACCAGCTCCAGGATGAGCACCACGTCGGTCTTGTTCTCGAAGATGTCGTGCAGGGTGATGATGTTGGGGTGCTGGATCTCCCTCAGGATGTCCACCTCCCTCTCGATCTCCTCCCGGCTCACGCCCCGGCGGCTGGACGACAGCCGGCGCTTCTTGATGAACTTGGCCGCGTATTCCAGGCCCGTTTTCCTCTCCCGGCACTTCCGGACGATGGCGAATTGGCCGCTGCGGGATGAGGGAAGGAGGTGAGGTGAGGATCTCCCTCATCACATCCTTGGAAACAGCAGGAGGACACATTGTTTCCTCCCAGGACTGCCAGGAATTGGGATTGGATGGTGCCCATCTGCTCCCAGGCTTTAAACACCCCGGCACTGCTGGAGCAAGCCCGGCGCTTCCTGGGATGGAGGAAAGGAATTCCTCCCAGGAATGTGGCAGCTGCAGGCCATCCCCGGGCTGTTCAGGTGCTGCTGTGACCACCCAGGCTGGGAGATGCCCAACAGCCCCTCTTTTCCAGCCAGGAAACTCCATGTTGGTCCCCGGAGCAAATCCCAGAGCCCGGTGGTCCTAAAGGACCGTAAAACTCTGAAGGGAAAGGCAGGTGGAGGGGGAAATGTCTTAAACCTGGACCCAAGATTCCTTTATACTTTTATACATTCCTGGATCACAGGTGGGGCCACCCACAGCCCCCCCAGGGCAGGGACCAGCTTTGCCCAGGCAGGATCCACAGCACAGCCCTGAGAGGGAAGAGAACCCGGAAGAACCCCTGGAAGCTGCTTTGCTTTGAGACAAAACCCACCCAAGTGACCCCAAAACGTTTTTGCTGCCCAAGGGTTTTTCCCAGCGGCCGAGGAGGAGCCACGGCCGAGGCTGGGCTGGAGGATCCCGAGGCAGCTCCCCCAGCTCCGCCTCTGCATCCCGGATGATTAAATCCCATCTGCAGGCAGTGAGTCACCCTGGATCCCTCCCCGGGCACAGAGCCAGGAGCAGCCACCGAGGCCCGGAAGCTGCCGGCTCTGGCCCTGCAGCCCCGGCTGGAGCTCCAAAAGGAGCAACTTTAATGTTAATTAACACCTTTTTTTAATCTCTCCTTGCCAGAGGTGCCCGGCTCCCGGCACAGCCGCTGGCAGAGGGGGCACAGGGGCACCACGAGGGGTCCAGCAGCCGGTGAAGCTCCCGGCTGGAGGTGCAGCCCCCCCAGAGCTTGGGGGGGACGTCCCTCACCTGCCCAGCTCTTCCCCCATCTCATAGAAGTCCTCCACGCTCTCCTGGCGGAAGGTGGACATGGCTGCGGAGCCGTTTGGAGCGGGAGCGGTGCCGGGAGGAGAACGGGAAGTCAGGGGGGAAGTCAGGGAACAGCCAGGAAGCAGCCGGGGATCAGCATCTGCAGCACCAGGAAAAAGGGGGGTTGTGTCCCGGGAGCTCAGACCAACACCCGGCACAGGGATCCTGTCCCTGCCAACCCCCAGAACACCGGGAAGGAGCCCCCAGGCCACACGACCCCAGCTGATCCAGGGATTAACCCCAAGGGTGCCCCACATCCCATCACATCCCAAAGCCTGTAGGGACCCCCTGACCCCCGTGGGGATGCCCTGGGGGGACACAGAAGGAAAAGGGGCAGTGGCTGTGTGGGCTCCATTGCCGTGGGCCTTGCTTGATCCCAAAGCAGCCAGAAACACTCAGATGTGGTGGAGAGACCCCCCAACTCAGCCAGCAGCACCCTCCTGCCCCCAGCCCCACTGTCCCTCCCTGCCCCACACCCACAGCACCCCCCAATCGATCTTTCACTGCTCC